TACCTGCTTCAGGTATACTAGTGCCTTCTGCCCCTGTCCTGCCAGGTCGCTCACTTCATGCCAAGTCCACCAGGCACAGCTGCCTGACACTTATCTGGTTCTTCTCCTGGAGAACATTCTTGCCTTTTGCATCAAGAGGGGCCTGAGCCAGTTTAATAATGAACACACTGTGGGAGCGATTGGGCTTTCTGTTCAGCCAAGTGTTTGCAACCTTCCTCTTTTTTTGACCTCTCCAGAACACTTGAAAAGCCTCCTCTGCGGATTTGACTTCCACCTCCAGACAACCAGCTACATACATGATGTGGGCTTGATTGCATCTTTCCTCCAGGAGATCGTAGATGTTGTAGTTGGAGATTTCTACATAGGAGATGAAGCTGCTGTAGCTGCTGTCATCATCCACGCCATCTGATTTAGAGGCCTCATGGCAGCAATTTCAGGATCAACCTTTAGGTTAATGGAGGGCGTTTTAGGAACAGACAAGTTGTTGTCCCGTCTTTGACGCTCCAACAAAGCATCTACGTCAGTCTGAATCTCCATACCATTTTTATCATCAGTCTTAAATACATATCTCTTGGCCTAGTAAGGACCTATACTGTTGAAGATCATGTCAACGAATAGTAATATAAGAAAAAAAAGTACAATCTCCACAGTTTTTTCACATATTAGAGGAATGCTGCTGTAATGAATGAAAGGAATCTGTTAGCATGACTCTCTGGCAAATGTGTAAAATTACTTTAATAGTTATTGTATAATCATATTTTCTTTTCTTTCTTTTTTTATGTGGATCTATTGTTAAAAAAACAGAAATTTCTGCAGTAGTGAGTGATAAAATATGATCTCTTCTGGTATTTATTTGCTTTTTATTACTTCATTACTTTGGTATGGTATGAATAGCCACGGGGGAGGACTTTATCAGAAGGAAAAGCTGTAAAACCTTTGAAAATTCAGGTAAAAGTCCAAAATTTATGCTGTCATTCCAATCTAGAGGGCTGGATTGGAGTGTCGCAAGCCAATTCTGGCCCCCAGGCCTTACGTTTGACACCCCTGGTTTAGGCTCTTCTGGGAACTCATTGACTGGACTGCTGACTTAGCCTCTGGGGTTAACGACTAATTTCTGGAGTTTCAGAGGGCTCTGGAAGTTTTGATAACTGAGTGCCAATGTCAAAAGCCCGGGAATGATTGACGGTTGCACATTTAGTATTTATGCATCTGCTCAAAGGGCTATATTTATATTTATGTAGGTTTTATAGGTTTTTCAGGTTTATTAACATTTGATTTCTATGTTAATGTTAAGACGATTTAGATTTAAAACTAAAGAGGTCTCATTTTGTTCTGCTTCCACACTCATGCGGGTCAGACTTTGAAATCTCTAGATTTAGAGGAAAGGAGTGTTGGGTTTGCTCAGAACTCATTGTTAACAAGTGTAGCAATTAAAGTCTGAACAGCAAGCTGTCATAGACAAAGACAAAAAAAATATGAAATATCTGTAAAGATACACATTTTTTTAACATATCTCCAGGGACATATAGCGATACACTGGGTTTTGCATATCAAAAGCAGAGGTAATAGCTGACTAACAAATGGAAAATGAGTATTAGAAAGAAAAAATACAGTGCATGGTTTCTACTTCCACCTCCACATCGTCTGGCATGATGTTAAGCATGCGCTATGTTTGATTCTAAGTTTTAGAAGTTACACACACAAATGGATGTTCAGTGACTGAGCAGAAGTTGGTGAAATGTCCCCAAAAGTGAATGAAACCATACGCATTGATTTCTGTGTGTATATTTTAATCCCCTCACACCAGCTATCTAATCCCCAGGATTCATTGCAGCCGACATCAAAGGAACCGGCTCGTGGACTCAGCTGTACTTAATTACAGACTACCACGAGAATGGCTCTTTATACGACTACCTCAAGTCCAACACCTTAGACGTCAAGGCTCTTCTGAAGCTGGCGTATTCCTCCATATCAGGCCTTTGTCATCTCCACACTGAGATCTACGGCACACAGGGCAAACCAGCTATTGCACACAGAGACCTAAAGAGCAAAAACATCTTGGTTAAAAAGAATGGATCCTGCTGTATTGCAGACCTCGGTCTGGCTGTCAAGTTTAATAGGTACACAACACATTTTGAGTCTTTTGAGCGTTTATTTTAATTAAGGGGAATACTGGACGATGCTAAAAATTCTTTGACTCGTTCCTTTTTTCCCTCCCTGTCTCAGTGACACCAATGAAGTAGATATCCCTCCTAACCTACGCGTTGGAACAAAGCGCTACATGCCACCTGAAGTACTGGATGAGACCCTCAACAGGAGCCACTTTCAGTCTTTTATAACAGCTGACATGTATAGTTTTGGCCTTATTATCTGGGAGATGGCCCGACGATGCATCTCTGGAGGTGAGGAAGATGTGTTTATTTTGACTTGAAGTGTCTTAATATTTTATTAATGATAATTAATGGACATTTTCTTTCATTATAACTCCAGGTATTGTGGAGGAACATCAGCTTCCCTATTATGACCTCGTCCCCTCCGATCCTTCATATGAGGACATGAGAGAAGTGGTTTGCATAAAAAAACAAAGACCTTCATTTGCTAATCGATGGAGCAGTGATGAGGTACTCTTATCTTTATCCATTTTTAAAACTTAAACTTAATGGTGTTTATGTGTGAACGTCATTACATCAACATGGTTACTTACATTAAAATAAATCCATGTAAATATGCATTAATCTGCATTCTAAGTGGAGATTTCTGCCTCATAGTATGAGAGAAATGATGCATTGAAACAGCTGTTAATCATACACTTTTTCAGAGTATTCTTTAGTTTACAGTTTACCTGTAAAACTTTATCAGTAAAATTATTTCCTCTGCCAAGGAGGTTATGTTTGTAGTAGTGCTTGCATGCGTATCATTCTTCCTGTCTGTAAACATGATGACTCGAAATGTCTTGAATGGATTCTGATGAAACTTTGTATCATCCACAAAGGTCATTCAAGGTCAAGTTTATGATTTATTGGCCGGAAATTGAGAAAAAGGCTTATAACTTAGAAACTATGATGAAGTGTGGTGTGTATTATCAAAATATAGAAAGCTTTGTATAAGGATTTAAAATAGCATTTCATATTTCACCTTTGAAGTGATTCTACATTGGCCGTTTTAAACTATGTTATTTCTACAACATAAAGAGTGAGCATACAGGGAATGATATATGGGGTTTCTTAATATCACATTTTTTTTTTATTATTACTGTGTTATGTGGATTACAGTTATTGATTATAACCGCTTTTTCTAGAATAAAAAAAAGAATTATACTCAAAATGATATCAAGTATATTAAAATGGGTTTCAGCTTGGCAAATAATAAAAGCCTGCACTTTGCACATAAACACAACGCTATTCCCTTTAAAAAAAAAAAAAAAGTACAGCCCTGTTTCTAAGTTATAGGTTGACCTTGTAGGTCTTGGTGGATGTAAGGTACATTTTTGCTAAACATGTTTTTGCATGCCCATAAATAATTAGTAATCATGGATTAAACCATTTGCCTAAAATGTACTTGTATTCTTATGCATATGGTCGTGTGTGTCTTTAGTGTCTACGACAGATGGGGAAACTCATGTCGGAGTGCTGGGCTCACAATCCAACTTGTCGTCTCACAGCCCTAAGGGTGAAGAAGACTCTTGCGAAGATGTTAGAGTCCCAAGATATCAAACTGTGACAGAGAGTCCACAGAAAATATATCATCTCCCAGAGTCTCATCATTACCACTGGCACAGGCCACTCAAGCTGGCCAGAAGAAAGGGAAGAAAAAAAGAGAGACTGTGAATAATAGAACAAATATAACTGACAGGGAGGATGAGTGATAGAGATAATGGTCACTGTAGGGCCAGAATAATGATATATACCAAAAAATTTATTATATCAGGGGACATCTGCTCTACCATTGACTGAGGCGCCTCTCCCTCAGTGTTCAGACTGTGCTTTCTGTGAAAGCTAAGTGGTTTCTGGTTCCAGACTGTTCAGGGGGCCTTGCAGGACTAAAATCTGGAGGATGGTCTTGCGCTGCTCCTCTAAAGCCATATAGCAGTATTCTACGGGCAGTCTTTTGTACTGTCAAAGCTGCTTTGTGTGTGTGTGTTTTGCTGTTTTGTTTTTTTCTGAGTCAGCCGCTGCATGCTGTGATATCACAGTGGACTTATGACGATGATAGTCATCCATTGACCTCAGTGTAGAAGATGTGGATTCATACCATTATTATTATTATTGCTGAACAAACAGAAACATGATTAATATATATATATATATATATATATATATATATATTAAACAAACAAATATACATGCATACACACACACACACACACACACTCAAGGTGAATCAAAAAAGAATCATCTGATTTCTGATTTCAGTGTGCTTTAATTCAACAGCCGGAGACAACAGAGACAATTTGTGAGGTTCATGTGGTTGTTTTTGTAGTTTGACTATCATATGGATATATACCATCCGTCCATATTTAGCCTTTTAGTTTAAAATGTACAGGATGCCTTTTGAAACCAGATGATTCTTTATAACCTGTGTATGTATTTATATATATATTTATACATTTGTGTGTGTATGTATGTATATACACATACAACCTCTCTTTAGATCTGGGCTTTACTATCCTGCATCGTCTCATCTTTCTGGTCACGTTTCTTTTTCATCCATATAAAGCTGATCTGAAATCTATGTATTATTGCCTTGTTGGATGGTAAAATGCATTTTTGATCAGTGTCTATACATATATATATATATATATGTCTCATCCACTCTGCCATTGTAGCACGTGCCTTATTTAATCTGTACATATGTAAGTAATGATGGTGTATGAGTGGATCTGCAGAACATTCCCTATTAAAAAAAATATTTGAAAAATATATCTTGAAAGCCCATAAGGTTTTTTTTTTTTTTAACACAGTCTCACAAGTCAAATGGTCGCACTCCATTTTCAATGTTGCATATAAATATAATTTATTATTAGTCTTAAAAATTCTTTCTTACAGTTTGTACAATAACTTGACAGATGAAATGCAAGCCGTTGCGAGGAACATCATGAGTGCAAGAAACAGACAGGCTACATTCTCACTATACACAATATTAATCATGAAGCTGAAGAACAACTAGGGAATGCAAAGGCTAGCCCACTGAGAATGTAGAGATTGTTTCAAAGGGATGCAAAGTTTGCATAGACGGCTTCAAGAAAACTGGGACAACTGCCATTCAAAAAAACAAAACCAACCAAGAACACTTGTATGGGCACAACTGCTGCTCCATCAAAGGAATGTCACATTTACAGATCATTTTTATGCACAGAATCAGTGTCATCGTGATATTGATGGCTTCTGTAGTGAATGTACAAACATCGTTGTCTGAGTTAAAATCTCTTATCCTCCAAAAGTACGCATGAACTTCGGTTGATTGAGACAATATTTAGATGATCACCCTCTGTATTAAACCTTACATGTCAGATATTTGGTAAAAAGCAGTTGTTTTCAGTTGGACTGGTCCTACAAAAATATACTGGTTTGATTTCCCTTTCTGCACCATCTCCCTCTTCGCTCTGCCTGGTATCTTATGTGAACGTGACATCATCATGAACGTCACACAAATTTGCATCACTCATGACTTTTTTTTCAGTCTGGCTAATTTCCCATATCCTTTTGTTAACAGGATATACGATATGTAGAGATATGTAGTTAGCCAAATGATCCTGCTAAAAACAAAAGAAAAGAAAAAGCAAAATAATCACCAATGCAACTCAAAAATATCACCCATAATAGAAAAGCAATAATTATACATAACATGACTAAAAGTATTAATAGCAGTTATAACGACACTTAAAAAACGGTGTAATGATTATGATCGTTGAGTTCCCTCTGTGTTATAAATGTGGCCGACAGAAAGAATAGTTACAGCGCCAGGTGTCCACCAGGTGGTGCTGTAATACAGTCAAACGCAATGAAAGAAGAAACGAAATACGGTTCAGTAACAGACAGCATAAGATACAAAAAAGACATGTATAAATAGGCATATCATTAAATACTATGTTGTCACAGAACACATACTTTTCCATGGAGTTGCCATGGAGACTGATTTTTGGAGAATGAGACGTTCTTTCGCCAATCTTCCTCCTTTGATCCATTGACCTCTTTAGCGCGTGTCACTGTTGTGAGGGCATCATCCACATCTGCACAGTCCATCCGAATAAACTGGAAACATGTTTCCAAGGAAACCATAGCCAAAAATATCAAATCATTCTTACAAGAGAGGGAGAGAGAGAGAGAGAGAGCGAAAGAAAGAGGAGAGAAACAGCCTGAAAATGACTGGCAGAGATTCTTGTTTACTCTCCAAGTTTTCACAACCTTTGTTGCCAATATTTAACTGGGTCATGGCAGGGTAGACCTGGCTGTGACTATCTCCTTACTTCTTTGAGTGTACACACAGGCAGCTTCTGTGAGTGTGTGTGCGTGCATTTGTCATCGAGAATGACTTTTCCTGCTTTTTTTTTTGTTGTTGTTTTTTGGGGTGTGTGTGGGGTGTGTTTGAGGGGGTCCACCCTCTTTTCATATTCACTTTGTGTCTTCTTCCTCCCTGGAATGTCACTTGTCCCTGGCAGGCAGATGTCAGTGTTCAGTCACCGCAGGAACAAGGCTGTCATGGCGTCCCATCTCCTCCAGTACTTGGGCAAGGCGACTGAGGTTGCCGTCAGGAAAATGCTGGGCCTCCCACAAGTCCAGGATCACTCCAGTGGGGCTGGATTTGGTGGCAAAGTAGTTAAGATACCTAAAAGAGTGATCATGTGAAACCAGAGAGAGGTAGGTTAGAAAAGCAGATAAATGGTTAATAGAGAGGAATGAGTTTGCTTATTAGTAATAAAAAACTCGCTGGTGTGCTGCAATAATATTTTCATCGTCAAATACTTTAATTCTTACTTTCTATCTTTTCCTTCTATACACAGTAACCTTTCTGCTCAGTAATGAGATACTGTGGGCATGAGAGGAAAGCAAAGTGAGCACTGATATACATCCTGTATTTGCAGTCTATGCAGAACTAATAATTGCTTTGTTTTCTTTTAATGACTTTTGCTTTGGCTTTAAATTGATAGAGATATATTTTTATATATATATACATATATTCATTCATTCATTCGAGTCTCTCGCCTTCACCCTTTGTCCTTCATGCCAAAGTCTGCCAGTGGTCTCGTCAATCTGCAGCTGCTGTCTGTGATAAGGCTTCCCTGCTGAGCTGGGACCTTAAAAATGGGTGTGCACTGTACGTCCATCACAAACGGAAGACTATCAAAGACACGGGGATGATGTTTTAAAAAGAGGAACGTCACTCTGTCTCCATTGTTTTTTCATCTTTCCTCAGCTCTGATGTTTATCAGAATGAGTCACATTCCCACAGATCACTCACAATCAAATTAAAAATAGATAACTTATCAACAGTTTGAGTCCCCATGGACTCTTAATGTTTACTTCTAATGAAAAAACAGCCGTTCTTTCTTTACTGGTACCACGCTATAAAAACCACTATGAATAAACAGAAAATTGACAGTTAATTACACTGTAGTTAGAAGCTATTTAGGTGTTAGAGCCACTTAGACCCTATCCTAGGACACATTGGGTGAGGGTGCGGTACACTGCAGACAGTTGGCCAGTCTCATCACAGCAACTAACACAGCAACTCAGACGATTCATGCTCACATATGCATCTAAGGACAATGTAGAATCATTAATTAACCCATGCAGCCACAAGGAAAACACACAACCTTCATGACAAAAGGCCCATGCTGTGAAATGACAAATAAATATGTTGATAACTGGTTTTTTAAACCAATCAATGAACATTATCAGTGTGGCTATTTTAAAGTTGCATCTGATATTTCTAATACTTGTGTTTCAGCGGACAGTCCGGGTCCCAGTGGGAGAAAAAAAACCCTTTAAACCTGGAGCTGCGGTTTATGTTCTGTTCATTATGTATGTGTTCACTGGTTGTTTAGTTAGGTTAATAAATCTAAACTATGCCTGTTCAAAACATTAATCTTGCAGGCTGAAAAGTGACACTTAAATGTTTTCCAAGTGAGACCACAGATCAGTAATTAAACCTGTATGACTAAACAACAACCTCTAGTAATATGAACAAATGCATAATGTAATATATAAAAGGCTTATGGGTCATCTCCTCTCGTTGGCTATGATTCAATACATAATATGTAATATATAAGATGTACGGATGGCTGGCCTGCTGGATGGATAAATGAATAATTACTTTTTTAAAACAAATTCTAATATATTTAATTTTAGTCGTCTATATTAACAGAAAAATAGTTTTGTTTAAACTATTTAACTTTAAAGTAAAGCCTGTTTCTGTGGCCAGACTGTGATCCCAGAGGTCCTAAATGTAAGTCACCATTTCACCCTTTACATTGTTTGTCAACCCACCTGTCAAGATTGAGTTTGTGGGCCAACATCCTCCAGTCATTGCCTCTGGTCTGCGGTGCGTCCAGGCTGCCGCACAGCTTCTGACGGATAGAAACAGGGATGCGAAAGGCATTTGGCCCTACCAGTGTCGTGATGTTGCTGGCAGGATCCAGCAGGGATGTGTCAATACTCTGGGAATCCTGTAAAGAGAGAATGAGAGGGATTAAAGCAGAGACACAGACTGTAGCTGTGGCTTTTTTCCCCTAGTTTGCAGACTGCCTGGACATAATTCAACACCTCGCAAAATGAAACATAATGTAGTTCAAATGGATTTGTAGCACAGGAAATTTCTTTTTCCAGGTGCCATAAAAAAAATTGAAAACCCTTCGTTGCGTCGCCATCCATTTACTGATGCAAGCTGAGTGATTTTCTTTTAAATATACTGCATCTGGAGGATTAAGCACTGGATGTCTGGCTACAGAAACCAGATCAAGACCCAGAGACAAATGAACCAAGGCCAGGCAGTAACACAGCTCTGCACTGTATGTACTGTAATTTATCTCATTACTGAGCACAAAGCATGAGTGCTCCTCCATCCCTCAAGCTCTATTCTCCTAGCCAGATGGCCTTTGTAAAGCAAGTGCAGCATGACTGGGGGGGGCAGGCTTATTATACCCTCCTGTGCTCCTCTCTTGTCATAAGCAAGACTCTATGTAAGCGGCATGGTTGAAAGTCCCCTGTCTCACACCTTGCCAGTTTTTGTGAACGTTGCAAAAAGTGGGAAGAGGAAATGGAAACGAGGTTAAATTCATTCAGAGCGTCTGGCTCGGTGGAAGGACAATGAGGGCGAGGTGGAGGGGAAGAGTCAAAACAGCTCTGGATGCAAAATTCATGTGAAAGCAGAGCACAAAAGTCGCACAGACCTTTGAGGTTTCTATTATAATTTCGAAGGCTATGCCCCGTATCCAGTCAAGGTGAATAATTACTTTAAGCCTTTATAAATCAAGTGAAAGCATTAGGAGGGAAACAGTTCATTACAAAATCAAATACAAGCATTTTTCCTCGGCCCGTAGTGCTAGTCGTGTAATGCTCTTTTATGTGAATATCATGAAATCGAATGGTATTTAATTTGTTATACTTAAAGGTCTGGCATCCAACTTGAGCCTGACCGTCATACACATTTACATGCTTCACTCTCCTCGTGTCATACACCATCCCCACCCAATTTATTGTTTTTTTTTAAGGCTCCAAAATCTCCAATCTCCCTCTGACAAGTCAGTGGTGCTGATGCCCTGCATCACTGCCTGCTGCTTCAACCCCTCCACCGGCCCAGCATCCACCTGCAGGGGCAGGGGGGTGATGTTTACTCCAAGTATCAAATGCTACCTCCGACAGTGTAGTGTCCAGCTGAAAAATCTGTCCTTCTCCTTCCACTTGGCGCACACATATTTTGCAGGTCAGGTCCACCGTGCTGGATGAGAAGCGCTCCAGGGTAAAGCAGCAGTGGAGGTTCCTTTGTGAGCCGCTCCACACCTGCTGAAAGGAAAGCTCCTGCAGAGAAGTGAAAAGTGTAGAGGAGTTACATCGGTGGGAGAAACCACATGGCACACTGTGCATGGCCTTTTACTGAAAAAGGAGTAAAATGAGCAGTTTACCTGGTACTTGGCTAGCAGTTTGCTCTTCCATAATGTGTGGGGAACATCATGGATGGAAAGCCTCAGGTTGTGGGTGCTGTCCTTAAAGATGAGAGTCTTTGGTTCATCCAACAGTTTCCCACCCATCTGCTTCTCCATTTGAAGGACTTCCTAAATAAACAAAAGCAAGCTTGATTAGCAAGGACACCATCTATACCGACCTCAAAAAGCTTCTTCTTTATACCAGTTGAAAAGCAGACAAACTGCTGCTGTATTCCTGTGATAATAGTCTCTGGGGAATTCTCACAAGTACATTTACAAATGATTATTTTTTAATAAAATATTACATTATAATCACCCGCAGGGCTTTACAAACCTAAATCTAGACATGCAAACCTGAAATCAACTTGTGTGTCCTTGCAGCAGGATCACTATCACTTCTCATTACTCATTCCCAAACTTAATAACTGTGTTCAATATCCCTCCTCAGTACAATAATCCTTCCTTATCTTTCCTTCATGCAGGCGCATGAAGGTATTAAACAGAATTGAGGTGATGAGACAACAGTAGAGAAGGAGGGATATATGTGGCTTATTTTGTGTTGTTGCAGCAGCTCTGTCTTTCCAATAGAGGCAACGTTATTCAAATACAGGCGCTTGTATCTCCTTATTGTGACACACCAACACAAAGATTTCTCATTCTGCCACCCACACATCATCTGCTGGCTGTGCTTGCGCATAAACAATTCAGTTACAGTGAAAAAAAATCACAATTATATTCATTTCAGTGATACAAATAACGAGACAAAGGCTATGCACACATTCAGTACAGCGTGCTGCGCATTTACCTTGAGTGCGTCCTGTGTGTCGTCCAGGCAGTAGACTCTGATGTGATACTCCATGGCTGGGCAGGTGACGGGGCCAAAGATGGCTAGTTTGAGGCGCTTAGTGGTGGCAGCGCTGAGAGATTGACCCACGAGGCAGTAGGTGCCCAGCGTCTCTGTCAGGATGTGGCAAGCCTCGTCATCCATTTGGATATAGCAAGGTGTAGTGAAATTCTCTTCTCCTACTACCACTATATCCTAGAGCGTGGACAAGGAGAAAGGGGAAAAAAGAGGAATGTTGAAGAATAAGCCTGGGTTTTGTTATGTATGTATCAAGCAAAAAATAGAAGTGGGGCATGGTTAATACAATTTTTGACTAGAGCAAAATATGCCATATCCAATTTTCCCTACATATCTCCATTTGCTGTTAAGTAAGACCAAACTATAGCTCGCACAATACTGCTACAGCTGTTATTTCTATTTGGTTGTATTGATCTGTTTCGTGAAGCAGATAACTTCACATTACAGCAAAAATGTTCACAGACAGATACAAGTACCAAAACTGGCATGCATGCTCTCTTTTGATTACTTTTTTGATCGAGCCCATTAGCCATTTGAAAACTTTAACTTTAACATTTAACATTGAAAACTGCAGTCATTTTCGTGATGGCTGATGATAAAGGCAGAAAATATAATTTTTCTTTACATAAAGTAAGCAAGACTTGCATTTATGAATGATTTTAGTGTAAAATTGTGCATGTTCAACTATTTAGAAGTCGACTTTAGTACTCTGAAGTTGCTTTTTCCTAAATCATTTGCACAGGTAATGCTTCTTGTTTCATTTACATTTCATAGATGGACCTGCACACTGCTCATTGATTACCCATGACCTCCCCAAAACCTTGTTGTTTTTAATGGCATAGGGCTGATTGTAGTTAGTGGTTTAATCCTCAACTCCTGCATACAATGCTGAAGTGTCCTTGGATAATTCAAGATATTAAACCCCAAGTAGCCTGCAGAGCTGCGTTTGCATACGCGCACAAACCTTAAAATTGTGTCCATGTTGCAGTGTAGAAAGTGCTATAGATGTCACAGTTCTGTTTATATATTTGCATATGTATATATACACGCACATGACAGGGCGTGCCAGCATAAGAGAGCTACACAGAGGACATGCATCATGGATCAAATATATGAAATTCACTGAACTGGGGAATACATTGGCAAAGGAAGAATGTTGAATGCCTGAGCCTACAGTGCTATGAGAGGGATAAATCCCTCGACCCGCACAGCACTGTGTAGCTACAATTGTCACTGGACCACTGGAGCAAAATATAAGATTGACGTAATTTGAATTATTTTCTTTTACGTGAAATGAAGAAGCTCAGATGAAGTTTTGAAGTCATAAATTTGACTTACTCAGTCAAAAGCATATAAATCAAGAGTAAAGCCTCTGAAATGCATCCAGTGGTTGAAATAATTCCCCAGCTGTTTCCCAAGATAGAAATGACCCAGAGTAGACCTCAACAAACATCACCCCGATTACTTCAAACACAGCATGAAAAGGAGGTGACAGTACAGAGGAGGGCTGCAAAGTGGCTTTCAGGACAACAGCAACTGTAAACGGTTTAATGCATGTTGTCCAGGGAAACCTATGTGAGAATCATATTCTTGCCTTATTTGTACATCTGGCATTGCAGAAAAACTGGAAAATATGCAGCAATTTTATCAAAAGAATAGAAAATGTCACAGCTTGTTTGCTGAATTCCATGTTTGAAACCGATTAGATAAATAATCGGTACATCGTCTTCTTTTTCTTTCAGCTGCCTCTATATTTGCAAAGGGTCACCACAGATTTTTCTTGTGGATGCACTTCTTGTTACAGCCCTTCCTGGGATTTGTGTCTCCTCCTGGTCTTGAACTACTGTGTGATCTTTTACATGTTATTGTTAACCGCTAGACTACAGAGTTACTGTATAGTATATTGCGTGGAGTTATGCATATATTAACTGGCCTACAGTAGTGAGTCTGTGTATTTAAAAGCCTCAAGTGTGGATTTGTAAACGTTAAATTGGATTGGCTAATTAGTGAAAACCACATTTTTTTACATGAAATCTTTGCCACTGGGTAATTAATAGCTAAACTTGTACATGTGTTGCTTTTTTGCCACACAGAAATGTGCTCAGTCACATTTAACTGAAACAGAATGAATTTAAGTTGCATTTTAATGTAGAAAGCACAATTAATGTCCTGACCTTTTCACAGAAGCCGTATACTCTGGAAGTAACACTTAGTGTGTGTGTGTACTACTAATATTTGAGACTGTCTCACGCGGAAAATGGAAGCATAAATATCCCGACTATTAGCAGTTGACCCTTGTAACGACACCAATGCCAGGACACATTTCTCTTTCATTAGGATTGCAAGGTCTGAGGAGCCTCCTGCGACTCTCCCTCTTTTTCTTTAACCCTCTCTTCATCTCTCTTCATCTTGCTTATTCTTTCTCTCCGTCTCTTCGTCTCTCCGTCGTTCTCGCTCTAATCCAAACACTCTCACAGAGTGGCACACTGGTATTAATTCAGCCTATTATGAGAGACAGAAGAGGAATTACAGCATTTTATTGTGAGCTAGGCCGTTTAACAGCAGTATTATGGCAGATCATTAGACTCTTAACTGCTCCTGTGGGATGGCACTAGGGATCCTTATTGGGGGATAATTGGAACGCACAGTGAAAAAGTGGCCCTGCTTCATATGTGGTACTGTGTGCAGGCAGAAACAATTAAACATACAAACATACAAACGTTAATTTAGTCAAAAATTCATCAGCTGGCTTTTTTTCCCCTCCCATGTAGACGTGGGAGGATTTTAAGTAGGAGAGTTACTGAAGCAGAAATCCCCACATGTTCCTCATTATATGACACGCCATCTTCATCATCATCACAACACCATGAGATTGTGTGTGAATCGGTGTGTGCGTGCGTGCATCAACTGGGGAGGGCTGCGGGCTCCCAGACGCCAACGGAACTGATTATTCTCAATATAAATATCCGTGAAAAACTCCTTTGGAGGAGCTCATCTCTCCTGTATCCACTGCAGTGATGAAAACACATTTTGACAGAGCATGTCATATAAAGCAATATTTCACTCATGCAGCGCCGAGGCTGGCCTCAGAGGGAAAAGGAAACTCATACGAAGGAAGCCGCCGTCACATCACATATTACCATCTGCATTTGTGGCAGGACGGAGATGTAATCAGGAATCATTTCTTCCTTAAAAATCCTCAGTTTACACTGAGCTTTATTGGTTGTGTCCAAGTAATTCATCAATGTCACGAAGGCATGTGGGGGCCAGTTGGGCAGTTTTTCCTCGGCTCTGTAAGTAATGTCATCACTTCAGCAAGAGGAAATTATGCAAGGGCTTGCTGAAAATTACATTATTTAAGTCACTATTTAATGATGATCTGACAGAAGGCCTTATTATTGGGTATAGACTGATGCTATATATTTGGACATGGCCTTCCTGAGAGTAATGTGCATTTTGATTATCATCTTATCATTTATGCAATAAGCCTGGATAGACTGGAGTCGTGTTACGTATCACTAAAGCATTGCCTTTCATTATGCTTCCTGTACTGCGCCCTGCTCCTGCTAACCTTTATTAATTGCTTTTATCTTTAAGGGAGCCTTTCTCTTTAAAAAGGTTTGAATAGAAAGTTAATTAAAAACCACAAGGAAGGAAGACTTTTTTTCTTTTGACAGCTAAGAAAAAGATTCTGATAGCTGCCCGCAAGAAGGTCGGCCACGTCAGGTGAGGTGCTGAGAGATATGTTTGGGAGTGAAGCTGACCACCTGGCACATTTCTAACAAAGTTTCCTTCTAACAAGCAGATTTGTTTCAAGTTTCTCTGCAAATGATCCCTTGGTAATTGGTCCATTTCTGCATCAGTGTGTGTGACAAAAACAGCAAAAGGGAAGACTTGAAAAAAAACCCAACACGAACAGAAAAACCCCCATACATGTTCACACCTGATGAAAAACCTGCCATTATAAAGGTACAAGGAAACAGCCTGGGCAAGAACACAGTCCCAGTCCATTCCCTGCTATTAGAGAGGTACTATTTCAGCTCCTATGTGCAGCAGGGGTTTACTTTGAGTACTGCTATAAGTTGGACAAACAACGCAGGGGACGTTGATCCCTTTCACCTCCTCCATCCTATCAGTTCTCCCATGCCATATCATGGATTTATTTCTCACAGCATCTTTTCTTTTTAACTGCTCGCTGACACACTGAGCAGAGATTCGCTTGTAAACACATAATTTCAATTCTTGTGTGCGTGCGACCGTCAGAAGCCCATTTTCGAAACTCGAGCGCAGTCAATAGACATTAGAGTCTACTGTAGCACAAATTTCTTTGTGAATCTCACATCTCACCTCCCACTGATTCTGCGGCGACTGGCTTTTGAGCTGGATCAGCCAGTCCTGCTGGCCATCGCACACGGCGCAGTGATGCATGGTGATGATGACCGGACGAGTCAACAGGGTCCCCGGGGGTCCGCAGCTCACCATGGGGCTGAGCACCGTTTGGCCATCTTCCACCGAGGGCCTGGAGGCGCACAGGGATAGCATACATACAATATTTAGCCACAATCTGATGGCACTCTCAGTATGTATGTGTGACACGGAGCGGTTGACAGCAGCGAATAAGGGTCTGGGGTGTCGTCGCATACCTCATGTTGTCCTTCCTGTGAACTGTCACATACATCTCATACACTCTGCCCTGAGGAATAGCCCCTGCAGGAATTAGCAGACTAACCCCTGGGAAGCAAAAAGCAAAAAAAAAAGATACGTTGACAGGTATACGAGAGGTGTCTTTATACTGTCAGTGCTTGTTATGAGACTTTTGCAAGAATGTGAGAGTATAGAGAGTGAGACCAACAGGCTGGTGAATCCTGGCTACTCCACATATAGAAAGGTAAATTATAATTTTACATTTAACTAGTGTGTCTTCATGCAGTGCTGCACAACTACAGAGATATGAATCAATTTTTTTTCCTGGATAAACACAATAATAATTGCACTGCCGTTCAGTCCCACACACAGCAACTATGTAATTTTACCACCTTCTTTTATGGTATCAGGAAATGATGTGGAATTTCATTTCTAAAAATCAATGATCTCTTTGCTCGTCACAGCCTTGGCATATTGCTGCAGCAGGCGCGATTTACATTTTTCCATCTCAGATTTATTCGATAAGATGTCCTAGCCGATACGCGCGTGTGCGTTTTTTAGAAGCCTAACCCCCAATTTCCATCATGCATATGCACACACAAACACACACATGGCTTCTCTCTGGAGTAGTGGTGGGGGAGGGATCTCAGATAGCTCATTGATTTCCCATGTCCTTGTACTGAACTTTTCAAAAGGTGACAGACAGCTTCTCCAGCTAGCTAGCGAGGCAATCACAACTCTGCCAAGGGAACGTCTCGCGCGCCGCTACTCTGCCTCACAGCAAAGCTTCAAAGAGATGAGAAATGCATTTTAAGATGCAAAATACCAAACAGCCACAGTGACAGCACCACAAAATATTTCATTACCCAGACTCACAAACAGATCAAATATCAAATGTGCTCTTTCCTCTCCCTATTCCTATGTAACATGATGAGGTGGCTGAGCGCAGCCAACAGCTGAGAACATTTTACAGTTATCAAAATGAAAAAAGAGAGAAATTTAAGAAATGTGAGAAGTCTGCGTATCCTTTAATGTCACTGCTAGTTTGCCTCTGCCTGTCAGCATGCATCTGCGGCGCGTTACAAACAGTCTGCATGTGTTTGAAGTGAGGACAGCATGGCTAATGTAAGCTGCCTGAAACGGGACACCTCCAGCACTTCTGGTGCACACACCTTGGGTATCCATCAACTCTTGTCATACTACGTGCAGTCAATATGCTGATGGGCTGCACATGGCTTAGCTTATTTCAAAGTCGCAGATCATCAGGGATATACTGGTACAGACAGCAAAGTATTGAATGATACTGCACATGCTTTAAAAAGAATTATTTTATTTTTACTGAGAGGTTTGCTTGGGGTTTGCAAAGATTAACAATTCTTAAGTTAACATTTATGGTTGATTTGAACTGCCGTGTCTACTGAGAGCTGCAATGGTTTTGTATTTTTCACTTTACTGAAGAGCTCTTTATATTTAAGCTCTCACATACCGAAATCTTCATATTGAACTGACAGCAAGAGCAAGTGTAACAAGTTTGGAAGCTTGTTTGAGCCCCAGAAAAAAAATGTAAAAAAATTTTGCCATTAAAATCCAATTTTGAGGGGTTTTTTCCCCCTCTTGCTTCTTGCTTAAGTCAGTAAGTCGCAATTTTGAGATACCCGACTTGAAATCTAGAGATAATAAACTGAAAATTTGACTTATGGATGGCAAGTCGTTTTTCCAGGGGAGAAAACGAGCTTCTATTCACAACTGAAATGAAGCTAAGCTTTGAGTAAAAGCAATCTCTAAACAGGAAACACTCAGGGAGCATAAACCTTCACCAAGGCAGCTCACTCTCTGGCCAGTAATTTACTTTTAAGGGAAAAGCAATTTGTATATATTAATTTTGTTTTCTTTGTTCTGTTTAAATGTACTTTAAGAAGTTTGTAGTGCTGTAAAAGGCAGTTAAGGGTAGAATCACACATGTTTACTTTGACTATAGAAACATGTAGGCGTGTGTAGGAGTAGGTAATGGATAATAGGTAATGATTTGTAAATAGCTTGAGCTTATTATATAATACTATACAACAGTATATTTCTAACTAACTAGGCAGCTCATTCTCTTTCTCTTGACAATACTTTCTTTAAAGATGTCACACATTTTGGGGTCAACTTGAAAAAGTGAGCGCAGAGGTCACATGTCATATGAAGTTTGGATGCAAACTATAACGTGATATTTAGAATCCCCATATATCATTCGCTATATGCCTATACGATGTCAATACCAACCATGGTGGTAAGGAACATATTTTAAATAGCTCTATATAGCATTATTATCACTTTGACCTTTCAAATCAGTCTATTGACCTTGAAGGAGAGGTCAGAGGTCAAATATGCCATAATATTTGAAATCTTTCTAGAGGTTGAGAGTACACACCCCATTTGTAAGAATCAGTTTATAGTTAAAAGGCTTTCTGTAAATTTTGAACCAATAAATCATGAAGTTGACTTTGAAGACCTTGGCGCACGTAAGCCAAATTTGAATGGATTGCTAAGTTGACCCCACTATACACTCCTGCAAAGTTTTATCAGAATTCAGACAAAATGACACGCATGCATGCAAACCCTACCTAAAACAAAACCTCCTTGGTGGAGGTAGCAACTTTCTGAAATGTATTTTCTTGCAGAGAGTTGATGGCAAGATTGATATCACTGTCAAACATGTTAACTAAATCTAAATCAAAGAAAATCTTCAGCCAGTAAACTTTTCTCAGCATAAAGACAGGAGGAGACGGCCAGCCTGGCTCTACCACAACCTCTAATGTTCACTAATCAAAATAAATAATGTAAACTTGCACTTTTATGAGGAGGGTATTATGTGCCAGACCATTTCCTGGTCAGACATAGTGACTTCCCGGAGTCTTGTCATCACTATGAGACTGGCAGAAATCCAGTGGAGACACCAGCAAGTTTTGTGTTTGAAGTTTCTTTTAATGTTTTTTTAAAATGGGATCTTTAAGGGAAACGTGGGCCGAGATCATCATCACCAGCACATTATTAAGTGAAACAAGAGTAGACATTTAAGGACACAATGAGAAAAGCTGATGGTATATTTCATTTCCTATCAGGCTATACAATGAGAGGAGTTTC